ACTCTCGGCACCGCCACCATCGCCGGCACCACCATTATCGTCCATAAAATCCTCCCACCGCGTAGATATTCTTTATTGAAATTTCTTGTGGCGCCGAGACTATCCCTGTCTTGTCCTTGCGAGCATACTATCAGACGTCTCCTTCCAGCCGACAAGCGGCAGGGAGCCTGAATTCTGTACTTACGCTGTGTGAAGATACATTCAAATTCTATTTGAAATACTCATTTTTTTTCGGCATGATTTCAATTGAAAATGAATCCGATGTGCACTTTCTAATTCATAATATCGAGTTTTCAATCTTTTGTATCGTTCCGTTTTCCACTGAGGTTATTTAAGAGAACTCGATTTATAATTAACTTAATTTTTATTAGTATTATATAATATGGATTCAAAACTAACTAATATTAAAATCTTCCCCGTATGCCGGCAAAATTAATGTTCTGTTTGCCATCCATCTTCCTGAAGTCTCAGTTTGTAGATTTATGGTGTCGAAACTTATTTGAGAGAGAGAGAAAGAGAAAGGGAGAGAGAGAGAGAGAGAGAGAGAGATGACTTCCCGGCGGGGACTCGCGGGGGATGGAAATGTCACCGTCGCTGTCCTCGTTCTCGTCCTCGCGGGTGGCGCTGGCGGCCGCGACGGCGAGCTGAATTCCTTCGACTTGGTACCCGGTGGGAGTCTGCCGGTGATGGGTAGCATGACGGAGTGGTAACGAAGGTAGGGCTACTCCAGAACCTCACGATTGGCTTCCTTCTGCCGCAGTCAGGCCAACCGTGACCGCATCAGAGAACTCAGAGATTCCCCCTATGTTTACGTGGTGGGAGGGGGGGTTGACTGTGGGAGCGGCGTCGTCTCGACTATCCCCGATTTCTCCTCCCTCTCGAGATCCCAATGACCACAGCAATTGCAATGACCTGAAGAGAAGTCCTTCACTGTCCTCTCCACTGAGCCTATCCTCTTCGTTTCTTCTTCTTCTTTTTCTTCTCTTCCTCCTAACTTCGAGATGGAGAAAAGACACAGGGGGCATACCGAAATCACGACAAAGGGAAGAAGGGTGGAAATTTTCCCCAACCCTGCCAGACGGAGCAGCAAGTTGAGTTCTCTATCGGTCTTCGTCTATATCCTTGGAGGCCCGTAGATGTCGTCGTCTTCTTGTTTACTGCAGGTCAAAGGACGCGTAGATTATAATGTCAAAGTTCGGGCACCGTCGTCTTCGGCCTACCTCGAAGAAAACTCACGTTAGTTCTAAATGCAAGCCCTCCACCTCCTCCCGCCGCCCTTCTACCACCGCCAACGGTTTTCTCTCTCCCGCTGCAGTCAACGCAAAACATTTTCTGACTTTCGCCACGGGTTGTTTGAAACTATGTAACGAAGCCTGACGAAAGCAGGAGCAGCGGCGCGTGAACATTACGCACGTGTTCAGACGACGCCGCCGATCTCTGAGCCTCCGTTTTTGGCTCTCTTTGATTCGTTATCCGCCCTCGCCAAACTCCGACTGTACCTCCGGTCAACGTCAGGCTATCTGACGAAGGGGCGTGCGGGAGAGCACATCCTCCGTTGACTCTCCTGAGCAGGCGTCAACAAAAAAAATGTTCACGTCTGACTATCCGCCGCTTGTGCAACCCTATACAGACCACGGGGAGAACCCAAAGACTCAGTTGCTAATTCACAACCGAGTCAAAGCCAAGCAGATCATTAGCACTTTCGAGCAATTGAAACCGACCTCGGCACGAGAAAAGAAGCCTGTCTATTATGAAAGAACGGAGTGTGCATAGGCGGTCTGGCTGGGTTTTATCAAGTCTTTTTGCACCACCACCGAGTGATGCTGACAAGTACGTCATGCCCAATGCGCATATCCACAAGAGCCAGTCACACATGCACGTCGTCTACCACGCCACGATGTCGCACATCTCATGCACCTTCGCTACGTGGTGACTGTGTATATCTCCCTCGTCAGAAGATTTGGTGTGTTCATCGTATGTTTGGCGTGAAATCCTACGCCCAAATCTCCAAACTATTGCACGGTCCATCCTTCTGGTGTCTTCACCGGGCCACACTCTCTGCTTGCTGCCTCTATTCCTGAGAAATGCCCAAAAAGGTTCTGTTGCATGGCTGTATTGTTATCGGATTGTTGTCAAAGCTTGTCTCAACCTGCTGCTAGGAGGCCTGCTTCGGGGACTTACATGGGATCTTCATTGGCTTGTTCTTGATCCCCCCTCAAGGAGGTCGGGGTTCTATTGAGCATAATTTTATCATTGACCTTGATTTTGACTTGGCACTTCCCGCTCTTCTAACACGCTTTGCTAGCTTTTCAAATCGTTATTATCATATAGTTACCTTGTCTTCTCTAGGCTAGAAGTCTCATGTGCCGCTAATTAATGGGAGTATCCTTGATACTCACTCAATGGTCCTATAATTCGTGGTCTAGCCTAGTCTTAAGTTATTAAGTCTAAGAGACCAGTTATAGTAGATCTCACGATTGGGACAAAGGTTGCACCTGCCACTTGTATCGACTATAACCACGATATTTGTAATTAAATAGGGCCAAGGGTGTCAGGCCGAGCATTGGTATCAACTCCCCACCTAGATTAGGCATGTTATTTATCTCAAACTAGTCTGATGTGGGTCCAATGTCAAGTATAACGCCCTACCAAGTCAGGACCAAGAGGGCTCAACCAAAGTTGCATACCCTCCCCTCGAACAATTTCATAACACATATAGGAGATGATTAATTTATGACACAAACCTGAAGAATGGTTGATGTCACATGCGATGCATGTTTTTATGTGACAAAGAGTGTAATAGGGTAATTTTTATTGTCATATAGTTTCTTTGATGACTTAAAAAACATTGTGATTTAGTTTATTAATTAATGACAATGTCAGCTCACAATAAAGTGAGAACGTGAAGAAGAAAAGTAAAATAAATAGAAATAATGGGAGTTTAACAAATTGCTACAAGATTGTGCTTTAGTTAGTACATTAATAATAAACATCCTTGGGATACTATGAACTAGTCATAAGGTGCTCACACATAAGTTAAGAATGAACAATTGGATTAGAGATTTCTTACTGCTCAAGCTCCAAATTAATAATAATAAACTTTCATATAAAGAAATAAGTTGGGTATTCATTAGTCAAATCGTCAAGAATATGATTTAATCATTCTTAATGAATTTCTTAAGGAAAAACTAATGCTTCACGTAGCTCAAGCTTCCACACTTGAGATATTTGCTCCATGGAACTTTTGATTTTTAAGTTTCAAGCTTTTATTTTATTTCTCACTTATTTGCAAGGGTTCATCATAATAGAAGACTGCCACACTAGTCTTAATTTGTTAACCATATGGTGGGTTAACAAATTAAGAGGCGAGCAAGCATCCTCATACTCGGTGATTGCACGTTAGTTCAATTGTCTTCACATGCTCTATCTTATATTACTTAGAGATTAGGATTAGCCCACATGTACAACTCAACACTGCCATGCATGCATGACCTAATGCCTCGTGTTAACCAGTCAATGAACCTTGGCCAATAAGTTAAAGCACGTCCTATGTAAACTTATCACAATGGGATGTGAACCTATGACTTAGAGCACACTATCTTATTAAGTTGTGACATTAAAAGTGGTAATGCATCATTTATGAGCAATCAGCTCATGCGTTTAGAGCCAAGTTCAAAGTGGTACATGTCCATACAACCTTTTATGATATATCTGCAAAAGCATGGGCCTATATTAAATAGCAAAGTTGAAGCTGCCAAATTTTTAGTTTAATTGAAAAAAACTCATCGTCAAGCTATTACTGTGACCTCAAGTCTTAAAAAGAACGTCACTATTATCATTTCCTTCTCATGTATCACAAAACACTAGTCAAAGTCATAGGGTTTTGTACTCTCAGATTTAAATGAACTCTCCTCTTGCACCATTACACCATTAATATTCGAATGTGAACCATTAGTGTGCACCTCGAGCAGCTTGTATGAGTTTGAGAGCATGACTTTAAGCTTGTTTGTCAATGAAGTTCATGCTCCGTGGTTTGACTACATGGTGTTCTGTAAGTAATGTTAAACAAGCTAATGAGGCATCAGACGATATATTATTAGACAAGTCAAATTGGTGGTCTAGGCATTGGTCAACTCAGATGACATAACAAGAAATTTAGATGATTGATAACATTTCTTTAGATTCACTTACTTTTACGCCCCACATTTATCATCCACACAGAATTTCATTGCAAAGAAGAAGCGGGGTTATTACCATTGGCCATGTCGAATATTCTTACATTGGTTAAAGGTATGAGAGTCAGTTCGCATGAGTAATCTACCATTCTTCACTGGGGGGAATAGGACTGAACGCCTTAAGGTACCTTGGACATGCATCTCCCACACACTGGTTATGGTATGACGCTGCTGGTCGTACACGAAGGTCGCACATTTTGCCGTCGGCCTTTACAAGGAGGCGTTTTGACCCTTGTGCTTTCAACTCTGTCTAGAAGACATGAGTCAAACTAAGGGCGGCGCTGGTTTTCACAGCGTCGACGCTGCTCAATCTTCGAGGATTCGTATCTACTCGACTTCCGCGACGTGGGAACGGAGGGACGACCGAGGAGTAGAAGTCAACATAACTCATTCATACGGAAAAATACAATAATCCTTCGTGGACCCAGGGCGACGACAAGTCCCGAGATTTCTCTCGAGCTCCATTGTCCTCTCTCCCGGGCTGCCGATAAGGGAATGGTTCGCCGGAAAGACGAGGTCTCTGTCGCGCAGGGTCTCCTCCATGTGCAGGGCGAATATAGAAATCCAGCCCCGCCGGCGGCATTAAGAGCCAGGCAAGCCATCCGCCATGTGCAGAGATGGATTCCTTGTGGTCCGTCGAGAACGGGGGGGATGATCCCAGAGGCAATCGTCTTCCACAGACCACTTGTGGTGGGGCGGTTTCCCCTCGTCTGAAGAAACGTACCAGTCGCGGAGCTGTAGATAGAGCGCTTGTGATGGTCTTCTTCAAGAACTGTTGCTGCCGTCGCTGTCTTCGCACGGCGCCCTCGACTGGATTATGACCCGGGCTCCGGAGGTGAGCCTGCAAGGGGAAGAGGAAGAAGAGGAGGAGGAGGAGGTCAACGAGTGCCTTGATATGGAGAGAGAACACCAGAGGACCTCATCCGACCTTTCTTCAATCTTGATGACCTTCTCTTTTTCCTTCGGAAAGGATTCTGCCCTCATGGAGGACCCACTGGAAGGGGAGGCAACGGGCATCCTCATGCTTCCGGCCTTGGATGGATCCCAGGATGGGGATTGCTGGTAATCCGGGCATGGGGAAGAAAGGGGAGACCTCCTCGATGTTGCTCCCTTCTTGGAGTGCTTGTTGCCGTTGACTCTGACAGACTTGGGGAGGCGCTTTGAACGGGATTGATCCATTGCCCGGTCCTCATCCCTAGCTGGAGGGGGCGACTTGGAACTCCTGGATTACAGTTAGTTTCAGACGATGCTTACCCAGATGATAAGAAATGAGAGTCGAAGTGTTTCCACGAAAACGGGAGGGATTTTCAGATGCGAAGATAGTAAAAAAAGATTAAGCAAGATTAAGCAACATTTTCGAACTATATTTTTTGAATACATTTTCTGTGGCTGATTGATGGTTGATGGTGGAAGCAGTCTAAAACCTCAGGAATCCATTTAAAAAGTTATCTTATTGATGATAAAAATGTCGCAAGACCCATGATTTGGTACCAATCGGGGATAAACTACTGTTGTAATGACAATAATCATAGAAGTCGAGACTAAAATTGTACCTTGTAGTGTCCTAGATTTTAGCCATGGCAACCTGAAAGTATTCTGGGAATCTGAGGAGAGTGTGTGGGCGTTTGTAGGACGAATATGGCGAGAGAGAGGGAGAGAGAAAGAGAGAGAAAAAGAGAAGGAAGATGAGAATACCACTCTGCTCCATTTGAAGAAGAACGCTTGAGAGTAGGCACGAGTTCTCCTCCTCCTTGCTTGTGCTCGGTGTCCATCGAGCTCTCTCGAGATTTGGCCTCGTCCAGCCTGGTTTCCGTCATCCTCGGACTCTTAGAGGGGCAGCTGAGCTCCCCCAACATCATCGAACTAGAGAACATAGGCGACGAAGGGAACTCCGTATGGGAAAATGCTGGCCTGTAGCTCGGTACAAGACCGAAGCTGTGGTGACCCTTCACGGAGATGGAGCCACAGGTGATCAGCTGCATCAGGACATTGATGGGCTTCATCCTTGCACCGCCCGTCGCGATGGGGATCTCCTCTTCGAGAATCCTAAAGCTGTTCAGGTTCCGAGCAGCGTCCGCCCTGATCAGGGATTCCAAGGTGTCGATCTTCCCGCCGGGCGAGAAGGTGCTCGTCGATGTCAGGGGAGAAGCCATCTCGTCCCTGATTATCTCGCAGCTCCGAGTCGACCGTGGCGTCCGGTTCCTCTGCATCTCCGCGAATTCAAGATCCGGAGGGCGCTCGTCAGTGGAGATGGCCCTTCCGTGCGTCCCCTGCGGGCGCCTCATCCTTTTCGAGCCCCCTCCCGTCTCCTCGGTCTGAGTCGAAGCATCTGCAGCTCCCATGGCCTTGTGAACCCTGTACTCTCCGGGGGAAGGGGAGGAGGAGCCGCCGGCCGACTGTGGCTGCGACTTGGGTCCCGGGGAGGCGTTGCCCGAGAAGGAGGTCGGTCTGTGAACCAAGGAAGGAGAGAGCTCGTCCTCCGGAGCTGATGATGCCGCCGCCGTCGGAGGAGGATGATGATGAGCGGGCGACAGTGGCTGCGGCAACTGCTGCGGCAACTGCTGCGGCGGCGGTTTCGTCTCCTTACCGACGACGCCCCGGGAAGACGGAGAGGCCTCCCGGCTTCTGGAAGTGGACGGCGATGGGCTCTCCCTTTGCCGGTGCTTGGTGGCGCCGGCGGCGTGACGCGGCCGGTCTGAACAGTGTCGAGATTCGAATTAGGGTTCATCTATTCCAACCAGGTATACGTCCACTGTACAATTCAAGGAGATGGATGAAGGCCTCTGGCTGAATTACCAGAAGGAGATGAATCCAGGATCTCGGAGCCCTTCAGGACGTACTCGTCGCCATTGGAAGGGAGGACGAGATCGTCCTCCGAGAGATCATGCCAAACGAAGCCGTTCTTGTAGCTCCTGCGGCATCCCCATCGATGGAAAATGAGATCCCAACACGAAGAGGGCAACTAGGAGATATAATGGAGCTCCTGGTTTCTGGATTCTCACCTCTTGCAGGACCAGGAGTACGAGGCGGTCACCCCTTTCCCCCTCAGCGCATTCAGCCGGTTGATCACATCTGCGTGCATAACACGAGAAGCGGGGTCAGAGATTGCGGCCGTCTCGCGATAATCGAGGAAAGAAAGATGGACTTCTTCAAGATCTAACCCCTCAGCAACAAGCCCTCCGGGGACGAGGTGGGCACCTCGATGAAATGTGGGTGCTCTAGGTGCCGGTTCCTGCAGAGGTAATAAACCACAGGCACCTTCCTTCCCTGATGCTGCCCTCGCTGCTGCTGCTGCAGATGATGGTGATGATGGTGGAGCTTCGGTGGGGGCTCCGTCCACACTTTTGCCCTCTCCGGACTCGCGTTTCCGTACCTCCTCATCCTCCCCTCCTCTCCCCTATTCCCCTGCTAAATCCATGGCGGAACCAGTTCCGAAACAGAGATCCCCGTCGCCTTCCGACTCAATTACTGAGGCGCCTAAAACTCTGCAGCAAGGGAGCCTAGAAGGATGATGCCTGGAAGGGAGGGAGCCACCTGCGACCAGGAGGAGGCGCCGGCAGCTGCGCCGCCGGGAACGGCGGAGGCGGAATGGAAAAAGAGGGCTGCGAGACGACACTACCACGGCGGCGCAGCCATCCCAGCCGCCGTCGCCACCGGACCACCTCGCCGCCGGCGGCAATGCCTGCTGCCGCTTCAACTGGCCGCGCCGCCCGCCGAGCTCCGCCTCGGTCTGCGCTGTCGACACCTTAGCCGTGTACCAGTACAGTTCCGGCAGTCGCCGCGTCATGGGGGGATTGAGAAACATGAGGCCCATTAAATCGTCGGTCCGATGGACGATCGGACGGCTGGAATCAAACGTTCCTCTCGCCGCTGCGGTGGCCTTCCGTTCGGCGGTTCGTACCGTTAAAATTCAACAGGATCCGTCGAGATCAATGGGAAAAATGAAGGGTTGGGATGCCCCCGATGCGTTGCTGCGGACGGCAAGATCTCTACTTCTCTCCGACTTGTATGCGCAGCGAAACATACTCCCTCGGGCTCAGAGGGGAAGGGATGGGGGGGCTTGGCAGGTTCCATCAGACAGCTCACTCCGACGTGCGGAGGAGAAGAAAGACCAATCCTGGTACTCACCACTCAGGTGGGACCCGCTTCAATAAAACACTTTCCGGCCCCACCCGTATTTTATCTTCCCTTTTTCCCCCCTTTTTTTATTTTTCCCCTCTTCGTTTACCTCCCCCGCCCTCCCGATAATAGACCCCTAATAATTGTTTTAAAATAGCATAATAATAATAATAATGACTCCGACACGTGACTTCCAACGGTCAGACCTCCCGCAGAGAGAGAGAGAGAGAGAGAGAGAGAGAGAGAGAGGACAGTTACACACTGATTAGTTGGATTCACGCATCAGCGGCGGTCGCGTCGCCGTCCAGACACGTGCGACGGGGGCAGCTCCGGATGTGGGCTTTCTCTGCCGCCGGCGGATCCAGCGGCTGGATGCGCTGTGGGCATTTGGGGACCACGTGTTGGAATTTCGGTTGATATTCGGACATTTTGCGCAGCTGGCCCATTAATGGGCCTCACACCTCACACCCCACATGACAAGTAATGAGTAGGTATCTTCTCTCTCTCTCTCCCCCCATTTTCTCTCTCTATTTAAAAGATTCCAGTGAATTTATTATTTATCAACTTCAATAAATCAATCACCGGGGAATGCTTGTGATTACGTCTTAGCAGTAAAGAAATGAAGTACGTGCCGTTTTAGCTATCTCATTGTTTAATTTATAAAATTCAGGAAATAATTTCATTTTAATTATATATTTTGGAAAATTAGCCCTCTCTCTCTCTCTCTCGTCACGAGCCATGCAGGACATCAACTGCCCAAGGACAGGCGATGGTGGCTTGGGAACCGACATCGAGCGGCGGCGGTGGCCTCAGGTAACCAGAAATCATGTTGTCATAATTTTTATCCAACCACGTGGCAGTGGGGCCCAAATGAATTATGGGCTGACTTGGGGTGGAGGAAGCGTGGGCCCACCTCCAGCCGAAGGTTTTTTCTGAGATCCACTCACATTTGGGCCTCAATGGCCCATTAAATCCGGGTTCGGGCCTACTTTTATTTTGGGCCGTTGGTAGGCTTTCTTATTGGGCCGATCCAGGACTTTAGATATAAATATTTAAAGAAAATAAGGATTCAGTGTTATTCGTTCTTCTCCTTGGCGCCTACGAGGCCATGACGGCCGCGAGGGAGGAGGGCTTGCCGGCGATCGTGTAGGGCGGGTTGCAGAGGCCGATTCTTCTCTCGGAGATTGCTCCGTCGCGTCCTTCCTTCTCCTCGTCGCTCTATGAGTTCTCTCCTCTCTCGATTGGTCGGCCGCGCCTTCTCCGCGGCGCCATGGAAGGGCCCAAGTCTTCCGCTGTCCGTGTCCTAGTCCGGCCGCCTTCCGCTCCGGGGGGTGTGACCTCTTCCGCCGCCGCTTCCGCGAGCCACGCTGACCCTCCATCCGCAGAGCCCTCCCCTCCCTCCGCCGCTGCTCCCAGCCCCTCCTCTTCTGGATCTCCTCCCGCTCCTCGTCCTCCTCCCGAGGGCGTCGCGGTGGTGGGTTTCGTAGGGGCCGAGGACGACGTGGCTCATCTGATTAATAGGATCCTCGATGCCAGCATCTTCGGCGCTGGCGGCGACAAGGATCTCTACTCTGCTGTCTCCAAGGATGGGGACCAATGGGAGGAGTGGTTCCGACACAGGAGGATCCGTTATTACCATGAACAGGAGAAGGGCATCGTCTTCCTGCAGTTCTCAACAGCACCAGTCATGCAATCGTGGCTCTCAGGTGGTTCGGGGGACGAGCGTTGGGACGGCAGGCTCGATTCCTTTCTCGAGGAGAGCGATTCTGACGACCTCCGGGGTTTGCTGCTGATGTTCTCTGTAAGTTGTTTCCAGTTTACGAGCGGAATAGGTTTGGTTTAATCTGTAGACAGAAGTAATATTGGACTTGTTTGAAATGAATTAGTTTTGGGAGGTATCATAGGTTCTTCAACTATTTCTTGATTTGAAAACTCAAACAATTTCTACTCGATCCTCACCAGGTTTGCCATGTGATTATATTTCTTCACGAGGGCATGCGTTTTGACACACACTTACTCAAAAAGTTCCGAATCCTGCAATGTGCAAAACATGCATTGGCTCCGTTTATAAGGTCCCACATCATGTCAACGATGGCATACAGAGCATCTCCATCTAACACAAAACCCCCTGTCCAAATAAAATCTTCTGCTTCTCCTGGTAGAACTGGCAGCAGTCGCCATGGTTCAGCAGTTTCTCCCGGTAGAACTGGCAGCGGTCGGCATGGTTTAGCTGTTTCTCCTGGTAAAATTGGCAGCAGTCGCCATGGTTTGGTTGCTTCTCCTGGTAGAACTGGCAGCAGTCGTCATGGTTCAGCCATCTCCCTAATGTCAGGTTCGGGTTCACATCCATCCATGTTGCCTGGCCAGTGTATCCCTGCCATTCTTTTTGTTTTCCTTGACGATTCCTTCAATGGTCTGACTGGAGGGGAGGACTCATCCGATTCCCATTCCATCAGTCAGTCCTCATCCACAACTTCAGTGCCCAGACCAGGATTAAGCTCGAAAGGATCCAGTTCTATTGTGATGCTGTCACGTCCCATGAATAAACCAGAAGGCAGTCTGAGGAAGAAGCTTCAGGCCTCACTCGAGGCTCAGATAAGGTTTCTAATCAAGAAATGCCGAATACTTTCTAATGTGGAATCTGGTCCTCCTGGTTCAAGAAGTTCAGCCAATGCACATTCAATTCCATTGTTTTCTCTTGATTCTTCAAGGGTCGCTGTGCTGTTAGACAGGCCAATGGCTCGCCGAGGGGAATCCCTGGATTACATCACCGATATAATTGAGCTGATTCTAAATTCAAAGGCAACAGATGATATGCTCGAAAGCAATGCCCTGGATTCCAGTAACGAGGACATTCAATCCATCAAGGATTTTATTTCTAGACAGACAGATGCTCTGAGAGGGAGGGGATCAATACCAAGTAGTGCAAGTACAGGCTCAGTTGCCGGTGTTGGTATGGTAGCTGCTGCTGCAGCAGCAGCAGCAGCATCTGCAGCATCTGGGAAACCCATTAGTGCCCCTGAACTTCCAAGTTTGGAAAAATGGTTATCTTCAAGTAGACATATCCTTGAGGGATTACTTTCTGCAAACAATGTGTCTGTTGATGACAAGGAAAATATGAAGATAATGACGCATCAAAAATCTGCCGTAGTTTCTCAGGATCAGGGAGCACCCACTACATCAATTAGTGCCAGAGAGAGTGCTATAACCTGCTTAGAAGGCAATAAAGGCCTGAGCATGGAATTCTCTATGTCATGGTGCCAGAGAGCTCTACCAGCTGCTAAAGAGATCTATCTAAAAGAACTGCCTGCATGCTATCCCACTGCCCTGCATAGGACACAGTTAGAGAAGGCTTTGAATGCATTTTTTCGAATGGTAAAGGGTCCAGCCGTGCAAATAATTGCCAAGAGGTTGGAAGAGGAGTGCACATCTATGTGGGAATCAGGAAGGCAACTTTGTGATGCCATTAGTCTGACTGGAAAACCTTGCATGCATCAGATGCACCATTTTACATCCAGTACATTGGAAAAAGGCGATAAGAAACACTCCAGTGGTTTTGTTTTCCTTCATGCCTGTGCATGCGGCCGTTCTAGGCGTCTGCGAGATGATCCTTTTGACTTTGATAGTGCCAATTTAACTTTCAGTTGCTTCCCTAAATGTGAAAATCACCTTCCAAGGCTGGTTCTACCAGAAGGGAATAAAATTGGGCCTCTTCCTGCTTCCTCGTGGATCCTCACTCGCCTTGGTGGGGCAAGGTATTATGACCCTTCCAAGGGGTTGTTTCAGAGTGGATTTCGTCCAAACGAAAACTTTTTGTTAAAATGGACAATTTCACTTCAGAAACATGGCAAATTGAGTACAGATACTGCTCAAAGCATGGCTATGGCAAAGTCATATCTGGATGCCAACACAGCACCTATTATGGTTGAAGAAACTAATGAATCCGATTCTCAACTTGGGACATCGGAAAATGATCAGAGAAAAACTACAGAAAATATCACCTCTGGATCGAGTATTAATTTTGGTAAAGGTCTTCCTTCTTTTGTGATTAAAAAACCCTTTTCTGAGGTTGTTGCAGGACCTGCTTCTCAACTCCAGCACAAAAAACTTGCAAAAGATATTCTAGAAAAGGATGTGAGCCATAAGCCTCCAAATGATATCACCAATGATCAATCACATCCTGCAGATGAGAGCCAAGTATTAAGAAAAAATGGACAGGTGCCTTTTCGGCAAAATTCACAGAATAGCTTTCGCTTTGATGCCAACACTTTCTTACAGATTGGAAGCAATGTAGTGCCTGTAAACCTGGATCGTGGCAAGAAGACAAAAGCAAAACATTCTCTGAAGCAAGTGATCGTCTATATTGGATTTGAGTATGAATGCCCCTGTGGGCATCGTTTTATACTGTCCAAAGAACATCTGAAGGAGCTTGATTCTTCATATTCCTTACAAGACGAATCTCACTACCCTCCTGCTGAAGCTCCAAGCAGCACGTTTGCTGGGAAATCCAACTCCTTGAACAGAATGAGAGTGGGTATGCACGGGAAATCTCATTTCCATTCTGATGGAAAAATTTCTCCTTCAGACATTTCTGGAAAGAGAAACAAATTTACTGAATCAATAGCTGCCCCTAATCCTCATCTCTCAGAGAAGGAATCTAATCAACCCAACGAATGTGTGGAAACTCCCAGAGAAATTAATCCTTCTGTAAGCCTTGATGATGGTAGTAGTGCATTTTCCCTTTTGAACAGGAATTTGCCAGTGTACATGAAGTGTCCCCACTGTACAGATTCGATGGATAAAGAGCAGCAAAAGTACAAGTTTGCGAGTACAATATCACAGCTCCAGAGAATATTTTTGGTAAAGCAATTCTTAACACGTTATCATTTGAGTTCTCTAAATGTCTTATATCCTAATGAATTTTATTTTTTTTTCGCTTTTCTATCTGTGGATGGATTTTCTTATCTTTTTTCCCTAAGGCCTCTTTACTTGATATCTGTGCAGGTAACACCTCCGTTTCCATTCGTTTTAACAACCTGTCCAATCATTCAATTTGAGGCAAGTAGAAGTTGATCCGCCCTTCTCTTTCTCTCTGTGAATTGGTGACTTGAGCTATTAATGCCCTGTATTTTATACCCAATTGCCAAGCACTATCATTTTTTTTGGTTATGTTATGTAGTGCGCAATGTTCAATACGTGGACTGCTCTTTGTTTTCCTGAAACATCTTCTCAGCTGGGTAAGTTATTTTATAGGATTCATGCCTGCCGCCATCTGTCTTGGACCGGGAGCAACAGTCTCAGTTTAGCCCTGGCTGCCCAATCATCCTTCCTCCCAAGAGCTTTGTTGCATTTCGGCTTCCCTTCATTTATGGCAAGTGGTCAGATGACGGGAACATGGAGCCTCTTCGTCTCTTGGAGCAAGAACCAGAGCTCACTGCCTCGCTTGTCAAAGGCACAGCCCTTCAGCTCATCTCAAAAGAATTTGATTTCACTGATCACTTCACTCTGGAAGAGTAAACTCCTGGACAGCTATCTCCTTCTTTCCTCTGTTTCCTTGGGGGAGTGGCCCAGACGGTATGCTTGCCATGCCATTGTGCCGCAGCTCTGCAGGTATGCTTGATGAGACCCCCTGTATCTTCCATGTTAGTTTCTCTTACTAAACATGGATTTGCTTGGTGCAATGGGGGTGGGGAGGACAGAAGATGGTAGAGACAGGGCGCTAAAGTATGGACCAGTTCACCAAGGATGAATTTTGGCGCTTCGAGCTCCTACAAATTCAGTTAAACTGAGGCAGTATTATGACTGCTTTGTCATTGTTCCATCCTGGAGATCTTATCTGAACCCTGGGGTTCCTGTTCTGGGGAATTTTTGGGATGCCCAGAAGGGCCAAAGAGCTGGAGCTCTCGATTCCAGTGGAAGGAAGACTGATGACAAGGTAAAACTAGAAGCACCATCTTTCTGTGCATGTTTCTTTTCATGAAATTCTTCTGTCCCTGGGCCAATTTCTTGCTTTGGTTTTGATTTTTGAGCTCATGCTGTTGAAAATAAGGGCTCTTATTTGGTAAGCCTACTACATTATTGATAAGCCCTGCAAGCCTACTACATTATTGATAAGCCCCCTTTGTCTTCTAGTTTAACTTCTAGGCCCTAGAAAACCATCAGACCATTATGTTTGATTCCTCTATCTAAGTAATTATGTGCACCTATAATTTAGCATGTCAGATGCGGAATTACCCTCGTAAACACATTTCCTGTTTGTGTGTCTGTCTCCCCATTAGTTCTTTCTCTGATGTCAATCAGCAAATGCCGTGGGCATTGGCAGGGGAGAGAAACCGGGGATTAATACTATTGGGGCAATTATGTCTTTTTTGTGTGTCATTTTATACGTTAACAATAATAATTTGGACCGCTGTACTAAAACTATGAATTTTCTGTGGTTTCTGTCGACCCAGGAGTCCAATTGAAAAACAAGTACACTTTTCAGATATTCAGCTAGTTTTCACAGAGCAAAACCAAATATAACCCAAGAAAGAGAACAAAAAAATTGATATTTATTTCATTATGCTTGGAATATTCATAAGATATTTATTCTGTGGTCCCTGAACATGCAGATCTAGTGGAAGAGTTTATGCTTACCGTTGTCTTGTTGTAGGAAATCATCTTGGGCTTGCCCTCCCTCAGTCTTCTGGAGTTCTCATCAGAGATCTATGGCGACCCTTGGCTGTGGTGATGAGAGTGGGGTGAGGTCTCCTTTCCAGGTTAGGGCTCACCATGTCCGAACGCCATTCCTGGTATTATTTCTCTCTCTCTCATCACCCGGAGGATGTGTTCATTGGACAGTGATGATGCTCTTTCCTGAATCCTAGCTGTCCCTCATCTCTTGTTGGGCCTAGCCCATCGGATCTCAGGCCCCTGACGATATCCAGCTTCTTGCCTTAAATCACCTCTCTCTCTCTCTCTCTCTCTCTCCCTCTCTCTCTCTCTCTCTTGCAGAAGCTGAAGTGGGGAAAGAAGTAGAACTGTCTCAAGTTCAATTTCCCCCTTGGGAGAGGGAGGGCTTCCTTTAGACAAAAAATTTAAGCTTGGGTCTTTGATAAGACCCTTCCCTTAGATATGGATACACACACACACACACACATAGAGAGAGAGAGAGAGAGAGAGAGAGAGAGAGAGAGAGAGAGAGAGAGAGAGAGAGAGAGAGAGAGAGAGAGAGAGAGAGAGAGAGAGATGGTCAATCTTTAATATTGTTTCTTTTGAGAGTACTATAGACATACATCTTATCTCTCCTTTCACAAATCATATAAGCATTTATGTTGTTTGATTTGAAACTTAAGAGCAACCACCTCCTTGAAGATGGTGTTCCATGTGATTTGTTAGGTTCATTTATAAGGAGGTAGAGAGTATCACATCAATACTTCCCCTTAAGAGTTTTACCTTGCCATCAAGGAGAAAATACGAAAATTGTTGATGGAGGCTTTGGATTGATTTCCATGGGTTCTTTGAGTTGGGGAGGTTTTTTCATTAGACTAGGGCTTCAATGTTGTTGTAACCTCAGTGGACATTAAGGATATCTACTTGTTCCATAATCCATCTGACATTGCCATCCATGGTTGGCAGTCTTAGTTATTGTTATGACATGGATTCAATAGCCTGCTTCAACTGAGACATGTGAAAGAACAAGTGAATGTTGGTTGTTGAGGAAAGAGTGAGCTGATAAGTGATTGGTCTGATCCATTCTTGGATCTCAAAGGGGTTGAAGAATCATGGGTTGAGTTTTTCATATGGCCTATTAGTGAGGGACCTCAATTGGAAGGGCTAGAGTTGAAGAGAAATGTGGTTGCCCATTGCAAACTCGAGATATTGGTGATTGCAGTAAGGCTTCATTCATATGACCATACTCAAGAAATGTGGTCTTCGTTCATGCTTGTACTCATGTGAGGTGAGCCTTGAGTTGGTCCAACATGGCATCTTGTTCTAGGATCAGTTGATCCATCATATTTGACCATGCCAAATGTGTCTCGTAGTAGAGAATGGTTGGGGGTGCTCTCTTATAGATGATGGTGAAGGGAGTGGTACATGTAAAAGCATGTTAATTAGTGTTGTATCAATACTTGCCCAAACTAACCACTTGTTCCATTAGCGAGGATGATCATTGGCGAAATAGTGGAGGTAAGTCTTGAGGCCCCAATTGGTGACCTATGATTTACTATTGGTTTGTGGGTGATACATACTTCTGTGTTGGAATTTAAACCTTTGTAGCTTGAATAATTAATGTCTAAACTTTTCATGAATATACAACATTAGATGATAAGAATTGAAGCTAGAACACCATGCATGTGCATCATGTCATGAATAAAGATTTGAGCTATCTCTTTCATCAGAAATGGATGCTAGAGGGGGGAGAAATAGGCGTATTTATTAAGTCAATTGATGACCACAAGAGTTGTATTCAAACCATTGGGCTTAAGTAGTCCCTTGATGAAGTTTATTAAGATGTCTTCTTATATTCACTTCAATATGGAATTTGTTTGAGTAAGATTGATTGGCACGAGAGAGTCTAACTTGTTTTTTAGTAGATATGTCATGTCTTGACATTTCTTTTGACATCATTTTTCATGTCAAACAATCATATGTTTTCCATGTGTCATTTGCAAGTTCGTAGGTATCTAGAGTGACCCTTGGTTTCAGAGTCGTGGAATTCTTCAAGCATCATGGAAATTACTACAATGTGTTTATAAAGAACTAGGTGGCCTTGGTTAAATATCATCCTCGATGACAATTATATTTAAGTCACTTCTCGAGATTAAGCAATAGGTCTTCTTTGATGGCCATGAGCTGAGGGTCTACTCAGTATTCCTACATAATTAAGTTCACGTCCAATAGATCTGTACAATAGAGATCTATGACTTGAAATGTGGGTAAAAATCTGATTTTCAAGACAAGCATCAGTAGTCTTATGTCAGCTTTGTATCTTATCTTGAAGTTGAAGCTAATGATATTTGTAAGTCACTTATAATAATCTGGTAAAATTTATTAGTGCTCAAGAATGAATCTCAAGCTGAGTTGGCTCATAAATATGATGAATCTTTCATCAAGTAAATAATAATCCATTTTAATGTGCTGAGAATGGTGCCCATATATAATTTGTAAATTGTCTTCAATCTATTGACAAAGGAGAGTGCTAGACTGAAGAACATGATAGGTTTTTCTGCAATTGTATGAGGACCACACATGCTTGGCTGGAAGCACCTGCTTCTAATCTGAATTCCAAAAAAAAAGAAGACAAAGGAAGTGTGAGCACTGGAGCAGAGGTAAAGGCTGTTTTGAGTTGATTGAATGTTGTTTCTATCTTGGAATCTTAGTTGAAAAGATATTTCTTATGTTGCTCTATGAGAGCCCTTATTAGGGTTCCATAATTTACAATCAAATGCTGGTTGTACTCAGTCAACCTCAAGAATCTTCTAAGTTCATGAAGATTGGTGAGTGATGGCCATTGGAGAACTGCATCCACCTTTTACTGGTTGACCAACATACCTTATATTGATATCCATTGACTAAGGTAGACGAGCTTCGATTGCTTGAGAGAACACCTTTTTGGAGGTGATGACAGTAGAGGATATTGAACATTTATGTCAACTGATGAAATAGTAAATTAGAATGTCACAAAAATAATTCAGTATGATTTTTCTGAAAAAACTGTTAAATATTTAATTCATCAATGATTGAAATATATCAAGGCATTGGAGTGTTTGAATATCATCATGAAAAATTGATAATATCCGTCATATGAGTGAAACACCATCCTAGGGATATCTTCCTTCAAGATCTATATCTGATGATATTCAAATCTTAGGCCATAGTTTGAAAATATTGTCATCCCTATATTTCATCTAGGTGAACGTTCCTTAGTGATTGAAATTGTGAAGCGATATGTAATGGTAGTCTTATTGAGTGTGTTGCAATTCTCTCAAAATATCCAAGTTCTGTTTTTCTTTCCCACAAGCAAACTAAAGTGAGACTAAAATATGGATTGGTCAAATGTTGGATAATACATGTCTCTAGTATTTCCCATATGAGTTTCTTAATCTCCATCTTTTGAAGATATAGATACCTAAATGGTTAGATGTTGACAAGTTTTGAGTCGGGGTCTAAGTTGATGGCATCATCCACCTCCTAGACTGGTGAGAGCACAATAGTAGTTTTGAATACATCTAGAAACTAGCCCTAGAGATGGTCATCTAGGCTTACTATTTATGAGAGGTTCCCACTACCACTTGACACTACCGCTTGATGCCTAAATAAATTGAAATAGCCACTATCTCTGCCCATTTTGTAACTTCATGTATGGTCTTAAATGAAATACTTTTTGTTTGATGTAAGATGTCAGCTTGAAGGTTAACTTATTTCTACCCTTACATGAGAGAAATTGTTTAGTTCTTGAAAGTCTAACTCTAATCTTTTTGTGCTGCTCAACCACTCATGTCCCCAAATGATATCCACTATTGTCAGAAGTAGGGCCAAGAAATTTTCATTTACCACTAAGGATTGAAGATGCAAGATGACACCACAACATATGCTTGTGCATTGTAGCTTCTCCTCAGTCCTCATAAGAACTTAGAAGTATGTGGTGAGTGTGATCATGAGTTGTAAATCGTGGGCAACATCCTAGGAGATGAAATTGTGGGAGGTTCTTATGTTGACAAGGACTGATGTATTTCTTGTTAATCCTCCCTCAACATTTGAAGACTCTAGATGGCAGGCATTCTGATAGTGAATTAAATGTAACATTGGGGATAGAGAGAGTTCCTTCTTTGATGAGTGTATCCTTGATACCTTTCACTTCAGTATCAAGTGGATTACCTTTGTCGAATGAGCTGAATTCTCTTCTTTTGCCTTTGGTGTCAACTCATCATGGGCAAGGTAAGTTTGGGCCCTTTTGTCAGCATAAATAATAACTTGGTTTAGTTGCTTCACTATATTTGGAAAGAAAGAACTTTCCCAAGCCCCTCAAGACCTTTCATGGTGATGTACTTCATTCCCACCTTCCAAAATAGTTCACATGATGGCTTTGACACTTATTGGTTTAATAAGTCATACCTTTACCTATATATGTTTGTGTAGCCTCTTTCCCAATGAATGTTTTCTCAAAGATATGATTTGGAGTATCATTAATGATCATGGTCTGAAATTCAAAATCATCTTGATACTCCATGATGGTACAATATTATTTAATTTTAAGATTTTTTAGCAAAGAGAGTTTATTATGTTTGAGCTGAAATACTCCAATGGCTACTATTAAAAGTCTTCACAATCTTGAAATACCATGCATCTATTCATTTGTACTAGAACTTTTCCTTTGAGACTCAAATTGTCAAATGTGAGTTTGTTGGTTGTAGAGGACATGTACATGGAGAAGAAAAGCTCGGCATGAAAGACCAATCTTTTAGGATTGTGACCATTGAACAATGGCATTTTGAACCTCCGGGTGCTATACTGTAGCTCTACATGTGGGTCAATGGAGTGGGTTGTGGGATGTATTGATATGTACATACCCTTGCAATAGCAGTGGGGCCAATTCTTCAAGCTTGCCTTTAGTCTCTCTCTAGAGAGGGCTGGGTGTATCTTGACTTGACTCATTGGGTGTATCCACAACCTAGTGAAGTACTTGGATGGCAATGCAGATTGTCAAGTTGACGAATTGTATGCTCTAAATATTGTTTGATCACTGAAACCTTATTTTGGGTCTCCTTATCCTTAATCGTAAATGTGGCAAAATCTTGTTAGAGAGTGGAAACATGTCATCTCAGCTTCCCAACATCCTTGTCAAGGGTTTTCAACTTAACATTAGACTTGTGCATAACTCTAATACCAATTTGATAGAACCCTTCTTTCAGATAATGATATTTTTTTTCAATAGTGACAGTTATAATCTTTATGAATGTTTCCCTCAAGAATATTTAACACAAATACTTATTATCACTCTATTAAGAACCTATAGGTGAGAGGGTTGAGAGTGATGTTACAATGGACCGAAAAGTGTCTTAGAATAAAATAGGGATAATTGTTTGGCGTTCTAGTGCTTACTAACAAGTAATTATGACATATTATTCCTCTATTAGTCATCACTTTGACTAATGAAGAACTTAGATAGGGATGAGACATATAGGTGCATGACAAGGGAGTGAGCGAGAGAGAGAGAGAGAGAGAGAGAGAGAGAGAGAGAGAGAGAGAGAGAGAGAGAG